TGACTTCTGTTTTAATATATAAGATTACCAAAAAAAAATTGTTAAGCGTATATTTGTTACTATAGATATGATTTTTCATAAGATATAATAATGATAAGATTATTAGAGAGTTAATGTAACATGACTTTCTAGTAATAGTCCATTTTTAAAAAAATCACACATGAAGTCAAGTCATGACTTCTGTTTTAATATATAAGATGTCAAAAGCATGCGTAATTGGTAGGTTGAATTACAAAAACACGGAGACAGTCAGACAGACACAAACGTAAATATCAACCAAATGGTTAAAAACAAAAAACGCGGTAAGTCAAAAATTTGACCGGTCTGGTTTGGTGAGCGCTCGTAAAAATAATCTCACCATCCCCATCACTCCTAAATTTAAATCACTATTTAATAACTGAAAAATTAAAATAAATGTTTAATAATAATTGTATATTTATATATACTCTCCTCTTTCTTCTTCATTCATAGAAGTCTCTCTCTCTCACCAACACCACACCTAACCAAAAACCCTCCAATTTACAGAGAGAGAGTTCTTCTTCTTCTTCCTCTACGCACACCAATACGCCATGTCTTCTTCTCCTTCTTCTTCTCCCTTTGATCTCATGTCCGCAATCATCAAAGGAGAACCGGTCGTCGTCTCCGACCCAGCCAACGCCTCCGCTTACGAATCCGTCGCCGCCGAATTGAGCTCAATGCTAATCGAGAATCGTCAATTCGCCGTTATTATCACCACCTCCATTGCTGTTCTCATCGGCTGCATCTTCGCGCTGATCTGGAGAAGATCCGGGAGCTCCTCAAAACATGTGGAGCCGCTTAAGCCGTTGGTGATTAAGACGAGTAGTGGTGAAGATGAGGTTGATGATGGGAGGAAGAAAGTTACAATCTTTTTTGGAACGCAGACTGGAACTGCTGAAGGGTTTGCTAAAGTTAGTTCCTTTTTTTATTTATTTAATTCAAAGTTTCAAATTATTTGAATATGGGAGCTTGATTGGATTTGGTTTTATTTTACAGGCTTTAGGAGAAGAAGCTAAGTCGAGATACGAGAAAACCAGATTCAAAATTGTTGATTTGGTATATAAAACAAGTTTGATCTTTTTTTGGTCAATGTTCAATAACTAGCTAACGGCCATTTTATGTGAAATTATTGATTGAACTGTTGCCTATACCGTTTTTTTGTTTGTAATGTACAACTGAACTGTTGCGTATACCGTTTTTTTTTTTGTTTGTAATGTACAAAAAAAAATTGTTTTGTTTAGGTCCGATTTGCTAACTAGGCGGACTACGGCTAGGCTCAGCTTAGACCGTTTTTTTTTTGTAATGTACAAAAAAAATTGTTTTGTTTAGGTCTGTTTTGCTGAGTAGGCGGAAGGCTAGGCTCAGTTTAAACCGATTTTTAGATTACTATTTGTTGTTTTAGATTTTGATTGTTGTTTTTTGTTTGAACAGGATGATTACGCGGCTGATGATGATGAGTATGAGGAGAAGTTGAAGAAAGAGGATGTGGCTTTCTTCTTCTTAGCCACGTTAGTGAGCTGATCTTAACTTGATTGACATGGTTCTCGTTCTTGTGGCTCATCTTGTTTTTTTATACAATCTTGGTGTAGGTATGGAGACGGTGAGCCAACAGATAATGCAGCGAGATTCTACAAATGGTTCACGGAGGTGAGTATTTGTTTTAGCTTTACTTGGCTTGTTTAGTTTATGTTGACTTGTTTCTGAAGTTCAGGACATGTGTGTTACAGGGAGATGACAGAGGGGAATGGCTTAAGAACTTGAAGTATGGAGTTTTTGGATTAGGAAACAGACAATATGAACATTTTAATAAGGTTTTTAAAATTGAATCCTTTTGTTATGGTTTCACGCTTACTCCAGTTTCATTGGCTGATATTGGAATTGATTTGTGAAATTTGTGTTGCAGGTTGCCAAAGTTGTAGACGACATCCTTATAGAACAAGGTTTGTTTGTTTCTTTCTTTTATTTCATCTTGATGTGTATTTGTATTATTCTTTTCTAACTTGATGAGTTGTCTGTACAGGTGCGCAGCGTCTTGTACATGTTGGTCTTGGAGATGATGACCAGTGTATTGAAGATGACTTTACCGCATGGTACTTCATCTATACATTTGATGCTTTGTACATCTGTTTTTTTTTTTTTTTTTTGCTGAGCTCAGTTTTGCTATTCTCTTGCAGGCGAGAAGCATTGTGGCCTGAGTTAGATACATTGCTGAGAGAAGAAGGTGATACAGCTGTTACACCATACACTGCAGCTGTGTTAGAATACAGAGTTTCTATCCACAGCTCGGAAGACGCGTTGAATCAGAAGAACTTGGCCAACGGGAATGGTCATGCTGCTGTCTTTGATGCTCAGCATCCTTACAGGGCAAATGTTGCTGTGAGAAGGGAGCTTCATACTCCAGAGTCTGACCGTTCTTGTACCCATCTTGAGTTTGATATTGCCGGAAGTGGACTAACGTGAGTTTATTTACTGTTTGTACATAATCAGAGGAAATATACTTGAAGAGTAACATGAATGTAATGTTTTTGTATCAGGTATGAAACTGGAGATCATGTTGGTGTATTGAGTGATAATCTAAATGAAACTGTAGAGGAAGCGCTTAGGTTACTGGATATGCCACCTGATACTTTTTTCTCACTTCACTCTGATAAAGAAGATGGCACACCAATCAGCAGCTCGCTTCCTCCTACATTCCCACCTTGCAACTTGAAAACAGCTCTTACACGATATGCTTGTCTTTTGAGTTCTCCTAAGAAGGTTGGTTTAGATTCACATCTTGATTTGTCACTGGACTTGTTATGATCAGTTTCATTTTCTCTTCACAGAAGTTAGAACTCAACTGTTTTTTTTTCTTGCAGTCCGCTCTACTTGCTTTGGCTGCTCATGCATCTAATCCTACCGAAGCAGAGCGATTAAAACACCTTGCTTCACCTGCTGGAAAGGTTTGTGCCACTCTGTTATTCTCTATTTTCTGTTATCTGAAAAGTATATAATTGTAATCTTTTCAACAACAGGATGAATATTCAAAATGGGTAGTAGAGAGTCAAAGAAGTCTACTCGAGGTGATGGCAGAGTTTCCTTCAGCCAAGCCGCCTCTTGGTGTCTTCTTTGCTGCAGTCGCTCCTAGGTTGCAGCCTAGGTTCTACTCAATTTCATCATCTCCCAAGTGAGTACTTCTCATTGATTTAGTCTTTTGTCTTCACCTTGAGACGTATCTGGTATTGATTCATTGTCTTGTTTACTTGCATAGGATTGCTGAAACTAGAATCCATGTCACATGTGCACTTGTCTATGAAAAAATGCCAACAGGAAGGATCCATAAGGGAGTGTGTTCTACTTGGATGAAGGTAAAAAACATATCACATTGTGATCTTTTTTGGCATTTTTATCTAAAATTTTGCTTGTGTGTTGTAATTATTACAGAGTGCTGTGCCTTATGAGAAGAGTGAAAACTGTTGTTCAGCACCAATATTTGTTAGACAATCCAACTTCAAGCTTCCTTCTGATTCCAAGGTACCGATTATAATGATCGGTCCAGGGACTGGATTGGCTCCTTTCAGAGGTTTCCTTCAAGAAAGACTTTCGTTGGTTGAATCAGGTGTTGAACTTGGACCATCAGTTTTGTTCTTTGGATGCAGAAACCGTAGAATGGTAATAAACTCAACTCTTTCATCATCTCTTTGTTCAGTTTTTCATTTAACTCTTTCTTATGATATTTTTAGGACTTCATCTACGAGGAAGAGCTGCAGAGGTTTCTAGAGAGTGGTGCACTCTCAGAGCTAAGCGTGGCCTTCTCTCGTGAAGGACCAACCAAAGAATATGTACAGCACAAGATGATGGACAAGGCTTCTGATATCTGGAACATGATCTCTCAAGGAGCTTATGTATATGTTTGTGGTGACGCCAAAGGCATGGCAAGAGACGTTCACAGGTCTCTCCACACAATAGCTCAAGAACAGGTTTGTATGAGAGATCTCATCACATCACAAAAACAGAGTTTGATCTGTTTTTTACTGATATTGTCATGTCTTTGTTTTGCAGGGATCAATGGATTCTACAAAAGCAGAGAGCTTTGTGAAGAATCTGCAAATGAGTGGAAGGTATCTAAGAGATGTATGGTAACGAAGTTGTTGAAGCCTCCATACAAACTCACTGTGTACTTTATTATTATAAAATATACGGCACAGAAATGCCATATTATGATGATCATGAAGTTTGTGATCGTTAGAGGATATGAGTGAACCTCCTTTTTTCCAATTCTTTATTTAGTTTTGTTTATTTTTTATTTAACTCTTGTTATATAGCCACCAGATAAAAAAATTGCATAAGATTTGATGTGGGTATTTGTGAAACGACCATGTTATATACAAAAAGTATGTACCCTTTGGTATGAATATTTATTTATGTAGCAGCAACATTTTGGGACAAATACCATCTCTATGTTCTTATAGATTGCTCAATAAGCCAGTTTGAAATCAATTTGGCATATATATTGCGCATGTGGCACACTATACATGTATGATAAATGATGTGGTGAAGAACTATACCACTCTGGTTAATATTTGTTATCCCTCCAATAGCATTTTTTCCTTTGAGATCTTACATGATCTGCTATTTGCATGATATATTCTTGAAAATACACATGCATATAGCACACTGGAAATTTCTCAGAAAAAGTTATTGTTGTCATTGTCAAATGCCACTTAAAACCTTCTAGCTGGTTCGGAAGTGTTTTTTGGTAGTTGAGAATTGAGATGAATGGAATGGGATGGTATGGTAGGTGAGCTGGGAACATGTGGTTGAAGATATAATACCACGTGATGTGAGTTACACTGATACGTGCGAAATTTAAGTTGGTGGAGGAGATCCACTTTCCAACAATAAACAACATGATGTTTCTCTTCCTCTTTCAACCTAGGTTGCATGGAAGCTTTGTCGGACGACCGCTTCCCGCTTCGGAACCGGAGTCAGAATCGGAACCTTGTGGAAGTTTACGGAATCTCGTTTCCAATACGCTTCTAAAATAACCTAATTAAAAACACATTGGAAGCTTATGATTCCAATTTGGAATCACGCTTCCGTTTTGAAAAGTACGATGTTGTAAACTAATAAAAAAAAAATCATATTTTATATAAATCTAAAATTTAATAATATTGAAATGAAAAAAAAAACATGCAAATACTAAAACTGATACTATTAAAATCACACACTATTTTTTTATTAGAGATAACATATTTATTGAAATAGATTATGTCAGTTATTTATAAAATATTAAAATAATTAATTGGATAACATTTTTATAAAATTAATTGTTTGTATTTTCACAATTACAATATGAAATCATTTTAAATTATTAAAAAAATGAATAAATACTTTATTTTTAAATTAGAATCATATAATTTTAGCTATAACTTTTATTAAATACTTATATATATATATATATATATATGTTTATATTAATAATTCGATATATGCTTCCAACCCGCTTCCGCTTCCTAATTTTTTTTAAAAGCCCGCTTCTGCGCTTCTATACGGTTCCGCTTCCACGCATCCGCTTCCGTTTCCATGTAACATAGCTTTCAACTACTTTTTTCTTCTCTTGTTGTTGTGTGTTTCTGTCCACCTCACAAATTATTAGTCTTATTATTATTAAGTCGTACTACAAAAAGTTAAAATATTAGAAAACTATTAAACAAAATAAAATGTTTGATTCAAAAAAAACTATTCCCCCCCCCTTTTTTCTTCTATAAATGACGTTTTGGATTTTTGTTTTGTTTCAATATACTTGACGTTTTGGTAGAAAAATACAAAATATGTGGCAGTGACCTTATTTATCCTATATTTATTCTATTTTAACTGTTCCACGACACACAATAGTCAATTAATAAAGAAGGATGCAAAAAATATTATACTGGATGTTTTAATTTGCGTGAAGCGTCCTACAACGTCATATATAAGAAAACAGGGCGTATCAAAGTGTACTAAATAAGGGATTATGAATTGCAAAAACGAAAATATGCCACGTTAAGTTTATAGGAACCGATCATTGGCGTTAATTGACATGGTAGCTAGTACGAATATTTTCTTTCTTTTGATTTTATTCACCAAACATTAATGTATTTTTTGATCGTCGGCAATTCCTCTTACTTCTCCAAACTTATCTTACTTCCAGGAATATTCTTTTCAAACATTATTTTCTTTCTTTCTTGTTCTTAAAAATTGATTTTATTAAAGTCTAGCCATTCATTATAATGTGATGTAATCCTTAGAGCACTTTCAATGGTATTATATACCATCGGAGTCCTTAACAATATAATAGTTGTTTTTTTGAATAGTTAAGGATTCTAATTATAAATATTCCTACAATGATGTTATTTATTATGGAGTTTTTAGGAAAAAAAATATTAAATCTTAAAACATGTGAAATTAAAAATTTTATGAGAAAATAACTTCAAAAAGCTTAAAAACGTTTTTGTCACGAATATAATATATAAGAAAAAAAATGACCAAAATTTTTTTTTACGAAGAATGTAAAAACACATTTATACTTTTTAGGTTAACTAATCTATACTTAAAGTTTAGAGTTATTTGGGGGTTTAGGGGATAGGATTTATGTCTTACAGTTTACTTTCTTTTTAAAACATTAAAAATTTCAACAATCGGGTGTTGCCACGTCATTAAAGATATGTCATTAAGGATCAAGTCCTTAAATATCTTAGTTAAGGATTCTTACTTAAATTATGCAAATTAAATATTATTATTTAAATTTAATTTACCTAAGAATATGTGTTAAGAACTTGGTTAAATCCATCGTTGCGGGGGGTCTTAGGAATAACAAAATATCCATATATTTTAGGTGAACGTGTATTTATGTTTCCTGAGAAGAAATAAAAAGGAACGACTTTATTTCATTATATGAAAATCCTAGAAATAGAATGATTTAGTACCCGTTGACGAAAGGCAGTGTATACTTTCTTTTACTCGATGAAGATGATATCTCAGGAATAAAAAATCAAGTAGACATTGGTAAATGGTAGGTGATCCATGTGTAAATGGTGTCACATGATTGTATGATTGATCTCAGTACTTCACATGTTTGTCAACGTCACGAACTGACATTGGAATTTTGACTTGGAATAATTCAACTCAAACGAATTTTCCTTTTCCATTTTTTTTTGAACTATTTCTTTTTCATTCGAAGAAAATTACATTGTACAACCTTCAAATAAATTATAATTCACTCTATAGCCAAATGACCTATTATACCTATATATTCCACCTCTTTTATATAATACTAGGTGATTTTCCCCGGATATGAATATTCATAAAATTAAAATTTAATAATAATTGACTGATATTTAGTTTTTAGTTTTGAATCAATTTATATGTATAATTTATACTAATAAATATTATATTATTCTAATTATACATATGACTTTGGATATATTATTATTAGTTTAATTATTTTTGGATCAATAGTCGGTTTGGTTATCAATTTGGTATATTTGATAATATCTATTTTTTGAGTTCATCTATAAAAATTTTTATTCTAAATATAATAAAATTTTGATTAATTTTCTTATTTTCATTTCAGTTGATTATTGTCTTTAGATATGTAAATATATTCTTAGATATGTAAATATATTATAGTTAAATTATGTATAACTTAATATATATTGCGCTTAAAATGAAATAAATAATAAGCTGAAGTATTTGATTCAAAATTACATAAATGAATATTATGATAATATTTTGAAGTCTCATGCATATATATAAATTCTAAAAGGAATTAAATTGTAATTGGTTAGTATTTTCTTTTTATTTTTAATATACTTTGAGTCAACCTCTAATTTATATGTATAAAATTAAATAGATTATTATTATTATCATTATAAAATTATATGTTCTTATTATAGTTAAATGTTTAATTTTGGATATAAATTAGATTAGTCGAGTCATTCCTTTTCTGAGTATATTGAGTTAAATATATTTTTAAATTATAATTGAAGTATAATTATTTTTATTTTAGTTAATTCAAATCAAATTAGTTATATTTATCTCTTTAATATACATGTATTTTCATAATATTAACTTACTCTTTATTTTAGTTAAATCAAATCAAATTAGTTTTATCTATCGCTTAGATATACATGTATTTTCATAATATTTAGCAAATTATAAGTTGATTTCTAAAAAATATTAGAAAATAAAGTGTAACTGATAAATTTTTAGATGTTTATGAACATATATATTTTTATTATTTTGAAAATATATTTTATTTTATTTAAAAATATATATTAATGGGGTATTACTATTTTGTGAACTTTTCTTTTTAATAAAGTCATATTATATACATATATTTTCGTTTTTAAATTTGTTTTCAAATTTTAGAAATATTTCCTTTTTATTATATATGTTATTTGGAAAAATTTAAAAAAAACTAAATTTAAAATCTAACAATTCATTAAGGGTATCTATTTAATCAACCACCGCGAGAGCTAATGTGAGCGCGCACGTATGAAACTGACTTCTCAAATAATATTATAGAGATTGCCATATTAATCTTAACAACAATCTGGAAAACCTGGAAAATAAAAAAAAACAACATTAATAATAATTATATCAATTATTCTCAAAAAACTAAATCGTGTCATCTTTGATTCACTCATTATTATCCGAAAAATTTTAAAACTTGATTTTGAGAGAGATGATTTGGTCTCTTTTTAGATCTATGCAAAATAGTTAGTGAAAAAGAGAATTTACCAGGTCTCAAGCGGCGAGGAAAGAGCAAAGATTACAGGCTTGTGAAATTGAGTTTAGAAGAGAAGATGACACCATAAAGGACAACAATGTAACATCACGATTTCTGATTTAATTTGAATTTCTTTAATGTTATCAATTTGGAGTTTTTTTGTTATTTATTTTAAATTGTTATGGTATGCTGCATTACTATGGTATAGTGATGAATAATTATTGCAGGCCACTAAATGGTTGTATTGATAGGTCTAAAAACGAGGAAGATGTGAAGAAGATGAATTTGCCGTCTATACTATATGCGGTGAAAGAAAATTATAGTATAGTATGTGTTCTTTAATGCAACTATTTATGTAAGGTTATTATACTATTTCCGATATAATCTCCTCATACTATTTCTGTAAAAATGAACAATAAGTCGTGACCTTCAGTTTCAGTATTTCTTTTTCTCGTCATGTTCATTAATAAATAATAAATTTATTCATGTTCTATTCTATTTAATGGTTGTAAATTAGTACTATTTCCTTGATCAGTGGTAGTAGAAGTTAATTACCAAACTAAATCGTATGGAACCTTGTATTTCTATACCATTCACAAGAAATGGAATAACACTTAATTTCTACTTTTCATTGATATTACTAAACATATATACTTCTTGTTACTACGACTCAATTACCTACATATGTTACGACTGGTACTACTATAGCCA